GTGGACGGTAGGCCTAACCGTAGAAATAAAGCTGCGTTTTCAGATTTCTCCGACGTAGTGTGGACACTGCCTCAGACACTCACGGTGTTCTAACATTATTACTTATAAATTAACGACTGTGGAACGTGATTTCATCTCATTAATTATGTTAGGGGTATTCTTCGACAAACCTAGAATGGTTTAGATGCAGAATCCCTTCGATTCTACTCAATATTGATCAATATTATAAGCGGACAACATTTTTGAAATGCAAAATTTATTCCAGTTATTTTAATAGCCCTCTTCCAAGATGACAAACCCTTCCGAAATACACCCAATCTAAAGACTTTGAACGAATATCTATCCTGAAAATATTCTTCAAGAGGTTAACCCGAAGACATAGTGAAACAATGCAATATTACATGTTCTTTATTCTAGCAGACAGGACTAAAGCAATTCAAAAACCGCCAACGATTTTGGCTTACGTCTCAAGCGTTCTTGATATGGCTAACTCGAGGAGGGGCCATGATGAACGAAACCCTGCTCGGACATCGACTACAGGCGGGGGCTTTGACATACTTTTGTTCGGTCAAAGACTGGTTTACGGATCTCAAATATACGCCTCGGTCCGATAAAAGAACTTGGCAAATATCCAGATCTCGATCGTGACCTCACGTTTGATTAAGAGGGCGACTGTGACAACAAGGAAGGACCATGTTTATTTATACTGAAGAACGAATCACAATATGTCGATTCATATTTTAATTGGCGTGAGTGATAGAATAAACCTCAAAAATAGCAGGGCGGAAGTCGGAGGATGTTAAAAGCCCTCGGCATGGGTTAGATTTGTGGAGATTGGCACGAATAGCCCCAAAGGAGAAATGTTGGCAAATTTGACAAAACATGAATCGGTGAATCGGTAACTCGGGCAGTCATGTGGTGCGGAAGAAAAATGAATCCAACTGAGAACTTGAGACCTGGGAAAACCCGGTTATATTCACTTGGGTAACAGCGGATATTGCATCTCATTTCCGTGTAACATTATGAAAATATGAATTAGACAGAAATTGTTTTTTTTTTTTTTTTAATACATGGCAGCCTGAAACCGTCGTTCATGTCGACACAGTGACACGTTTCAAATACGTGCGATAGCTTTATATTATTGACTTTATTTTGCCAGAAATTACAAACAGATATATATGCATGTTTGCACTATATTGTATATTTCAAAATTTCATTTACATAACAATAATAAGAGAGATTAAAGAGTTCGGAAGTAAACGGTCACCTACAATAAAAATTAATTTTTTAATTGCTCTCTTTTTGGCCGTAATATGGGCGTGCCAAATTTTAATATAGTACCTGTTTGAAATGATGTATTTCGCCTAAGGCGCCCATCCATGTTTCTCCCAGCCCAAAACTGTTGATTTTGAGCTAGTCGTTTGTTTACATAACTTCAAATTGTAATACTTTAATTGAATACCTGTTGCACAAGGAAGTGGATTTACGGCCGGGTCGCACTAGACACGTACACTAAAGACACGTACAAGAGTTTATTTTTGGCGTCGCGTAAATATCTTAACTGCTAATTGTTAACAGTGAACAGTGGAGAAAAATAGCAAGTGGGGTTAAATTTGTTATATATTGGCAAAAACTGCGATTATTTTTCAAAAAGCCAACATCAACATTGCTGAAATGTCTAAAAAGTCCGCAGATTCGTCAAACGCTCAATTCCCCAACCCCTCTCCCCTGCACTGTTCGGTTCCTCAAGCGGAAACACGATTCGCGCCAGTAACTTGATCATGTATCGAGTCATAAATGAGAAAGCGTTGTGTAACCGGAAATTTGCCAGAACTGGCAAAATATTAGAGTACGTTTCGATCTACTCGTTGGTTTCTCTGAGGAAAGGCTGACTTAATCACGAGGTATGTTTCCATATAAATGTAGAACTGCCATCGTTTGCATTATAAAGAATAGCGAAGCTTGCAAATAACTGCGAAGGTTGTGTTCATTTAGCTAAATCGTTTCTCTGCATATTTCTCTTTGTTTTGAGTCGGATCTATGTCGATTTTTTGTTCTGTAGCCGAGGAAAGCTGTTGTAAATTTGCAGCGAACGTTTGTAATGTCTTATAAACATTCTAGGAGGAAGGATTCGTTCGTATACATTATTGAGCTTGAATTGAGGAGAATTGCGGTCGTTTCGCCCGATCAACAGGCCATTAAAATCGCCCGTGACCATGCACTCTTATTAGCTCGTTACAGAACAAGAATTAAAAATGTTCTGTGGAATTTTGTTTCATTATTCCCACAATGTTGTCTATTTTTAAAGAGAGAGAAACGTTAAGCACACATTTCTGTGCACTTTATGTCCGGGCGAGCCGACTTAAATTAGTGCGGGCGAACTGACACCGGGCGATTTGCTATCATGCGAAACGACATCGTTCACCATGAGACTTTCCAAGCACGTAGGCCTGACTGCACATGACATGCACTAGTAGACGGCTGAAATTCAGACTAGACTTGTACGAGCTTATTCCATTTAGAATCCGGATCTATACCGGTTTCCACGGTTGTGCGGAAATCTTTTTGTCAAAATGACTTTGAAACCCTGGAAATGAAGGGGACTTCAGGAAACTAAAATCCAAATCTTACATTTCCTTACACTGCCCTCCTCTGGAAGACCGTGTGCTTCGGCGCTTGTTTCAGCGGATTTCAGAAATCGGCCACCCTTTATCCAAGTAGCAGATCGAAAAAACCCTACACTTTTAACGTTCTCTCCACTAGTAATAAGCTTTCATCTTGGAAAGCGCATTGTTATTACGTGTGGAAAAACAGTGAGCTGTTGTTTTGCATGTAAAATCTGTACCCAGGTGTTATTGAACATTATATAATAACCCAAGTTATTCTCGCATTTTGATTGGTTCTCGCCTATAATCTATTAGAGGACAGATGCACGATTGACGTCATCATTTCAAAGTCTTTTTCCCCCTGTGTTTTAAAATGGCGGAAAGTTTTGAGAATTTAGATAATATTTTACATGACTGGGCAAAAGATAAGGTACAAGAAAGTCTTGTCCAG